TTCATACTATTTGGCCGGAGCTTATCTCAAAAATTATTTGAAGTATCAACTTGAAACTTCATAGGTGGATGGATCTCATTGAGGAGGAGTGCAGTGCACAATAATGATAACTCTACCCTGCATAATTTTTAAGTTATTGCCCTTTGTTTGTTTTTTTTTTAAATTAATTTTTGTCCAGAGCATAACTCAAAAGGCCGTTGAGATATCAACATGAAACTTCATAGGTGCATAGATCACTCTCAGGAGGTGTGCAGTACATAAGAAGGATAACTCTACCTTTCATAATTTTTGAGTTATTGCCCTTTGTTAGTTTACATACTTAATTTTTCACCTGAGTGGAGCATAACTCAAAAGTGTTTGAGATGTCAACATGAAATGTCATAGGTGGATAGATCTTATAGAGGAGGAATGCTGTGCACAAGAATGATAACTCTTCCCTATACAATTTTTGAGTTATTGCCCTTTGTTCTTTTTCATACTATTTTGTCCGGAGCTTATCTCAAAAACTATTTGAGGTATCAACTTGAAACTCCATAGGTAGGTGGATCTCATTGAAAAAAAGTGCAGTGCTCAAGAATGATAACTCTACCCTGCATAATGTTTGAGTTATTGCCCTTTGTTATTTTTCAAAATTAATTTTTGTCCAGAACATAACTCAAAAGGCCTTTGAGATATCAACATGAAACTTCATAGGTGCATAGATTTCACTCATGTCAGGTCTGCAGTGCACAAGAATGATAACTCTTCCCTATATAATTTTTGAGTTATTGCCCTTTGTTCTTTTTCATACTATATTGTCGAGAGCTCATCTAAAAAAGTATTTGAGGTATCAACTTGTAACTTCATAGGTGGATAAATTTTACTGAGGAGGGGTGCAGCATACAAGAATGATAACCTACCCTACATTATTTTTTAGTTATTGTCTTTTGTTATTTTCAGCCATCATTATTCACATAGGTTTCAAATCTGTAATCACTTCAGCCATCAGTTTTCATTACCAAAATACCTCTTAAAAGTGAATTATTCTGCTCTACTTCATATACATTCTTCCATTGAGCAAACACAGTCGGCGGGGGATGGCCATGTAAACATGGCTCTTGTTTATATATAGACAGTGTTGCTCGTAATGGTTTGTCAAAATGCCTTGAACATAAATAACTTATACCCGATAAACGATACATACATTTTTGATAAGCAAATGACAAATGATAAAACATCATATTTGAGCATAAACGTAGTATATAAGACATTAAAGGCTTCAGACCCGTTACCAAATCAAACTAAAATAAAGCAGCACACGTATGACCTCGCTCACTATTTAAAAGGCGGCTATTCATGTTTTTGAAACAAAGGACATGTCCGCATAGTACTATCCAACTCATCTCAAAAGCAAAATACAAAACTTAAAATGAAAGATTTCTTCAAAACGAACGTGGTCCCTAGTTTCTTAAAATAGAGAAAATAAGAATCCCTTAAGAAAGACCAAAATGGCAAAATTGAAAATATTGCAGACTCGGTTTGATGGATGGTACTATCAAGTGCAAACAACCGGCCACGCCCCCCTAAGAGGAATTCAACATCTAAACATGAAATGGTAAATTTTGAATATAGAAACATCCGCAGATGTGTTCATACGCCGGTTATCATTGAACCTTCAATTTGACACTTACGTGCCATTCCAAAAAGCGGTGTATTGTCCCCAAAGTAATAGAAAGTGTGTGCCCTAAACGAGAAAACAATAGGCGGAACTAAACAAAATGGCATTTTGAAAGGGAATCAGAGGTTATCACAGATAAGACGTCAATAGACAAAGGTAAAAAGCAGGCATCCTAAGGGTGATCCTGGTGTCACGATATTAAATCTCGGTAAACTAGAGATAGTTGCATAGTCCATAATTTGCATACGGAGATAAGAAAACATTCCCTTTCCATTTAAAGAAAACGTAAATAAATGTTTTGCAACAAAGCCAGAAATTTAACATTGGGCATGAAGTGTAAATCTGATGTATGTGAATGTTTTATGTAATTGTGTTTATTGACGACTCGCAAAAAAAAACTTGTCATTCCGCAATAGGTTATCTGCCTACCAGTAACTAACTGAAATAAATTTAAGATAAAGAAAGCGAACAAGACGATGAAGTATTTTGCCTCTGAATAAGTGCACAAAAATTTCACCATCACTTAACAATTATACGATAAACATATGTGTTATTTCAATAAACATAGATGGAAGGGCCTAATTACAAGGCTATATTAAGAGAGGGTTTCATTTTCTTGTGTTAACATTGACGTTAACTACTATCTTAATATTAACACTTTCTTACTATGTTAGTCTTAAATGCTTAAATTAATTTATTTTTATTCACTTTTGCTATATGTAGAGGTTCCCGATGATACTCCATTGTTTTCAAATATTTTAGCGCTTTCTGTCGATATATTGAATTTCAATGTTGAAAAAGGTACATCATGTTAATAATGCTGGTAATTGTTAGTAATAGATCTTGATTTTGAGTGATTTGTGTTGCAATATAGTACGGTATAGAATTCAGATGCGCAATCATATAATTACGAAGGCCGTAGGAATGAGCAGACTTTTGAATGACACACGGATAAAAGAGCAATATCATTTTGAAAATATCTCCAACTTTGCATGAATTCTTTTAAAATATATTTTGATCAAATCTAATGTTTGAACACAACTGATAATTACTTTACAGTCTCTTTTGAAATGTCGCATATAAACCATTCGCACTTCAGGTATTCATAGTATGATTACATAGAATCATAAAAAAACTGGAAGTTTAAAAATAATAGACCAAAATAACTTGACATGTAATAGTGCAGCTTCACAAACATAGATTATACATTCACTTTTTCAAATAAGAGATATTCAAGAAACATTTACTAAATTTCATAAAATGTCTGCGTCTGAATAATTTTAATGTTATTTTTGCAAGATATAGGCATTTCATAATTGATCAAAATATTGATCTTGATCCTAAAATTAATACTTATTTTGATCCTATTATTTTTGTATTCGTTTTGTTATTCATCGATTTCATCCCAAAATAGGTTTGTTTCTATGCAAATCAGCTACTGTTAACATTTTGAATATTTACCATTTAATTCTTGCAAAACACGACAATTTCAGTAACATAAAACAATGAAAATAAAACCAGGAATACTTGATCCTGATCATTTTAAAGAACACGGGACCAGATTCTTCATTAATTTCGATGTTTATAGACACTTCAAGTTCCCAAGACACTTAACACCAAGACCCTTCACACCAAGGCATTATATTTGAATATTTTAAAAAGGGATAAGGTGTGAAGGGAGAATACAGGTTTTTGAAGATAAAATGTCTTGTGTGTGGGGGGGGGGGGGTTGAAGTGTTTACAAAATTTATTGGTTGAAAGGTCTAGTGTTCAAGTGTCTTGTTCTCTTGCCGATGTAAGTAACGTGTTTGCTATGTTAAATATTGTGCAGGTGTTTCTTTCTGATTGTTATGTTATCTTTAAAACATTTTGTCAAGTCGCTATTATGGCACCATAATTTACGAGTGAAACAAACACTACAAAACTATGATATATATATATATATTTTTTATTTCAAATATTCAAGTCAATTGTATTCCTATATACGAGTCTCAAAATATCTTTTCTAAGGAAATGAAGGTTTAGTCATGAGAATAGTTCATATAGTATTACATGTTAGTTAAAAGTTGTACCAGTAATATATCTCAGACTTTAAGCCAATGGTTCTGGTTACAAACAAAAAGGCAAGACTTTAAAAGTGTAAAATTATATCATTTTAATGACTTCCATCATTATCTTCGTTACATAATTTAGCCAATGTACCAGCGAAATAAATAGAGGATATTTGCTTGTTTGCATGTAAGATTGAAATATAATTTCACTGAGTGAACACCAGATGCAATATTTTCACGAGTGGCGTAGCCACGAGTAAAAATACAATAGCTGGTGTTCACGAATGAAATATATTTCAATCTTATATGTAAAACAAATAAATTTTCTTTTTATTTCATGCGTTTTAAGTAATTTAAGTAATTTTTACTGATTTTGCCACGTAACGTCGCGCATTCTCCTTTGTGACGTCATCACATCATGACGTCACATCAACAAGTTTGAAATATAGTTCTGTTAAATTTCTCTAATTTTGTTACATTTTTAACATAATGTATGGTGACATCGACTTTCTTTTCCGAAAGAAGCAAAATTTACGCATGACGGCATTTATTTTTGCCTGTTATTCCATTCAGTTTTGATTTTCTTTTCATCCGCATTCAGATATAGTCCGGCTACAGTGAAAATTATATTTTACAAATTTCACTAGTGGTTTATCAGAATATAATCATCTGATATATTACAATAAAACACTGGAAAGCTTGAAATAACTCAGAATCATAGAACAGTTATAACGTAAAAACAATAATATTAAATAATCCCAACTCATTAGCCCTTCAATTCATGTAACCGAAAGCCATTCAGATAAGTACGCACATCCGGACAGTTTGACCAGGCATTATCACGGTTCTTATATTGTGACTTTGATGTCTGCGATGACAGAAAACTATTACCAAAAATGGTCAACATTTTATTTTCTGTTATTTCTTTTTTAACATTTCATTAATTTTTATGGGATAAAGTGTAGAGCCCATACCTAGAATATCTCAAAAGAACACATGGCATTATCATAGGAAATATTTGTAGCAAAAGAAAACAACTGCAGTCTGTTCTTTTTCTGTTTTACTAAAATTATTTGAAGCAAAAAATACACACAGTTCTTTGCAAAGTTCACATTCAATACAATATAATCGTAATTCACTATTTATGTTATATTATACGATACACTTTGACATGTTACACTGCGTTTGTATACATGAGTCAAAAATATATATATTTGAATATGTTTCTCGTTGTTAAGCCTTATAAGTTTTTCTGTTAAAATAATTTTGCACAAACTGTAGTCAAGTTAAAGACTAAACGAAATCACCTTAATATTCAAATATTTGTACAACACAATAATAGATAAAATAATGACTTCGCCAGTCCTTTATTTAAAATCATTCATTCACACTCATCGGAGATAAGTTTAGCAATTCTCTCACACAAAGGGTTGTACATTTTTGTGTTTCCTTTAGGACAACTCCCTGAATCGCATTCAAATATTTGCCAATTTCCTGCTATCCGAACTACAGAGCACATAATGACAGCTTGGCAACTTAGTGCATGTGTAAATGTAGTCCCGCACAAATCTGCGTCTGGTGAAGAAGCATCGTAGAACTGCAGTCTAGGATTTTTAAAGTTTTCTAGAGTGGCTGCTTTCCATGAACTTAATGTGAAATAAAGATGTGACACGTTTGTAGGTAGTTTCTTGAGGTAAACATGAATTTCTTGACGCCCAATACGACCATCGGGGGTTTTCTCATTTTTCGCGGAGTGAACTACGGCACCTTTATAAAAGTATTCAAAACATACAATGATAAGACGTACTTATTTCATTGAATAATCATTATTTGCCTTTCTACGCAAGCTTCATTTAAATGACTATGTTTGTTTTACTACGATGTACTTGGTTAATTATATGGTTGCTGCTTGAAATGCGACAGATCAATCAAACAAGAATTACATATTTTCCCTTACTTTCTATTTATAAGCAAAACTGAATTTATTTCCCTGATATAAAGATTGTCCAAACTTAATGTATTTGCTAAAGCTCAAAGAAAAACATAACTTGCCTTCCAGATAATACTGGTTGTCGGAGTGGTTCCAATCTATGACAGAAATAAATTCATCTTTGTCGAAAGCGAAACATGATGCATCCAGGAAGTCTGTATTGTGAGCTGGAAACTCCCAAGACAAGTCGAACACAACATGGTCAAGATTGTCAGGAATGCAGTAAAGCGGTATAATTAAGTTGATAGTGTCGTTCACATCAATACCATAATCGTTTAAGCGAAACGGTTGTCCAGGGGCCTTGTTTTTCTATTGCAAAAAAATCGTATTAAGAAAGAAGAAATCAAATGGTGTGGATTTTGTTATTTTGTATCATAAACAACATGCGTTTGATTATTAATATTGATGATGAATAATACTTTATATACATATATTGTAATATTTCACTTCAGTTGTTAATTCTTTATTTATATAACAGATATAACAGTAGGCAAGTGCTGTTTAATTCCTTTACTTATAAAAATGGGTGTCATATTTTGGCTTTCATAGATAAATTGTAAATGCAGCGATACCTTCATATGTGTGTCTTTAAAAAGGAGCTTTTGTTTGGGTTCTTTAATTCCCAGCTCTTGCTCAATCTTTTTCCTTAGCTCCATTATGGTCATGCTGCTATCAAAATCAACCCAACAAGTATCACCAGTTACAGATGTTACTGTAATAACACGCCCCTTTGTTGCCAACAACGCTTTTCTATTCTCATCATACACTTTTGCATAATCCTGAAACATCCTAATTAGTGTGGCTTCACATATTTTCAATTGCAGAGTTGACTGTTCATCCTCAAATCTGACGACACACTTAGTATCTGGACATGTTTGGCTTCTTTCTACATGTTTCACAATACACTTTGAAAAAGTAAAGTAAATATATATATATATATATATATATATATATATATATATATATATATATATATATAAGTATATAGATGTACATGTATAATCAAACATAATCAATATGCCTATAAATTGGCTGCTATATTTTATACTCGTTTATTCTCGAAATATGGCAAGCTTAAATGTCACATAGAAGTAGTAATCAGCTAATTCAGTTATTTGGATTCAGCCATAAACCTCTTGTTGTCTATGTCGGAAAAATACATTTTGTAAAAACTGTGTTTATACAAAACTTTCAATTCTTTTTTTCAAGTAAATGTTTACCCGCAAGCACACTCCCGGATTATGCTCGCACTTCTTGGATATCGGCATGGAAGGAAACTCATTTGGCGGTTTCCATTTCTTGCATTTTGAACAATCCATTCCTTTTACGAGAATAATAAAGTAATTTATATATACAGTTACTTTTCTATCCAAAATAAAATGTAGTAGGCAGAAAGAAACATTGAAAATATAATATATGATCATACATCAATATCAAAATTGTATCAAAATGTTCTAAAAACTTTAATCAAAATGTTTCGTAGACATCTTGAATAAATTTGGAAATAGCGTCTCTCGAATTTTCATTTGCATGAAATGAACTACTTAATAACGTTAGTTAATTAATCTTAATTTATAGAATAAAACATATTAAACTACAAATCACATTGCAATAATAACGATAATATTTTAAATGTGTGAACATACGCATATCATCGTCCTCATTTTCATTGTCTGAATTCTCGTTGTAGTCTTTATCTTCGACAGGAGTTGATGGTCTTGCACTTGATGATATAGTTGTGGTACCGGCGACAAGCGACTAGAATAATTATCTCTTATTTCATACAAAGACTCAATAGAAAAAGTGATATATTGCATTATACCTATCAATGTATCGATAGCCTTAGTAAAAATGATTTAACGCAAATAACATACTTAAAAAAATGATGCGTTGTGTAGACGAAAGCCTTCGATAATCCATAATAATTTGAAACAGAAATATGGCAAGAATTACTTATGAGAAATTGTAACTGAACACCAGTTATTAGCAAATGTTTCTTTCTGTAAACAACAAATGGTTACAATAATAAAGAAGTTTATAACCTGTACTATAATAAAACATATTTACAAAAACAATGAAATTATCAAATTACTGTTTTTGATATCAAGAATATGATTGAAATGGAACAGAATAAGTGGAGCATATATTATTATGTTTCAAAATTTGAAGGGCTAAACCCATACGGACACACATTCGACCATTTTCTAAAAAAGTCTTTGAAATATTACCCACACTTTCAAGCCCAGCTTCTCGAAAACATATATTCATCAACATTTTCTTTACTTCATCAAAATCACATAACGGCAGGTAATATCCGAACGTCTTTGCTGCTATGTGTTGATAGAAATTCTCAGACACAGACAACGAGTTGCAATGCACAGCGTATATCTTTATTCCCTAAAATAAATAATATTATCGCCCTAATGCAACGTCAAAGTGTTATAAACACTATTTCATGTATGCATAAATGTTGGTCAAACTCTTTATAAAATTAAAAAATCTAATACTATTAAGTCTCTAAATGTATCATATAGTGCTAATGTGATTTCATGTTCTAATGGTTTTGCTCGCTTTGTGTTTATAATTATATATGATGCATTTAGTATTTGTAATATATACATATCTGTCCTTTTACTACTCGAAGTAATTCCCCCTCAAAATCGTTATTTTTACACAGTTCGTGCATTTTTCAACATTCCTGCGCTACAGGATACATACGGTAATTATAATGTAATGCTATGAGTTTCGCAACTAAGCCAATTTTATTTTGTATAGAGAACAAAGTAACAAAAACAAGTCGGTAAATTAGCGATGGTATGTGATTTACGATACCATTTTAACAAAAGAACCCGTATTTATATACTTTGCAGACTTATTCCGATTATTATGTTACCTTCATGCTCTTTTGTTTTCTAACCAAACATCAGTTTTATTAATACTAACCACAAGAAATCTATAGTTTCTGTACTTAATCACGTAAAACATTCCAAAGCCACTCAAAGATTCCAACCGCTACGCTCTTGAAGTTTATTAGTGCATCAGTCAGGAGTTATTTGAAAATTCTTGGGGGTTTTTCCGTGGGGTTTGGAGAAACGGAATTTGCCAAGACTCTTTTTCAAGTTCTTGACATTAAAAGGGCACGATAAGCGCAATGTTATCTTATATATATTTAAACATAATAATAAAAAACGCATGTTTTTTATATTATGTTATATATATATTTAAACATAATAATGAAAAATGCATGCTTTGTTGTGGATATCGAGCCCTCTCGTCCTATGGTGCCTGTTAGAGCTCTGGAACGTCATAGCAGCCGTATACGCTCATTCATTTATCTTTGTTTAATATATATTGGTCCCTTTGATGTTTAGAAGTAGTCATTTTGCCTATAAATTTGCACAATTAAGAGTTTTATTTGCACAATTCCTACATTATTCCAACATTACTATGTTACTGGATACATACGGTGATAATTATGGAATGCGTAATCTTATGTGCACGAGTTTCTCGACGAAAACAAATCCATAGAGGACAATAGAACAAAACAGATCAGTAAATACTTACATGCCTGTAAAAAGTCGGCAAGTGCTTTATCAGACCGCTTTTAACAAAAGAGAAGGTCAGAAAAATTATTTTAAAATTCATTTTCATAAAAGTAAGGGCACATTATAATTTTCTTTTCAGATTACTTGCGAGAAACTGGTACAATTGATCATTTTTACACAAACCTTGTTACGGAGTCGTGTTGTTTCTTCTTTCCAGTCAAGGTGTCGAAAATTTTGTTCCTCATTTTTTTCATGTGGAGTTGCGTCACCTATCAGAACAAGAGCTTTTTGGGAGTTGGGTGTCCATGCAAGTTTCTCTTGGACTTCCCTCATAACAAGCTCGTAACACTCTGGAAAATCTCCACCACCGGTTTCCGAAACATCCCTGACAAAGTTACATAGGGTAGTTGAATCTTTAGTGAAATCAATATGTTTAGTAACATACTTATCAGTATCACAATAGTCACCATGTGCAAATATTGCTATTCGCAAATTTGGTATTTTTCTGTTTAGTTCTTGAACCATTTCCGACAGCTCCGAGCGAACTTTTTCCAAACAGCTATACATGGAACCCGTCGTGTCAAATGAGAATACTATTTCAAATTGTTCTCCCATCTCTGAAAATTTTTGTGTATATATGTAGATCAATTAAAGGAATACTCAGACAAATTAATGACAAACATATCAAAATTATCATATGTACACAAATCATGCTAAAATGACATTTGTAAAAGTCCCAGCATGTATTTCTGTATAAATTCTATATATTTTGGGTTTGAAGCATAAATATGTCTATGAACGGAATTTAGACGCCGACAGAATCACTGAATAGTTTTAAAACTTGTCATGTGACATGAACAAACACTGGAAGCTACAATAATAGATACTGTGGATATTGCATGATTTACAGAAACCTAAATGATTCATTTGATACTTCTTAAACGTTTCAAGAGTTCACAGTGACAACTGTTGTGAAATATTAACGCTCTAACCTGACCCACGTGGGTCAAGTTAGGAAACCACCATTTTATTCTTTATACGGAGAAAAGTTTTGTTTCTGTGACTGCGTTGTGTATTCATTTTGAGGACATTTACAGATTAATGAATGAAAAATTCAAAAGGAAGAAATGAAAATTTTGCCTATGTCACCCTTTAATAATAACACATATAATATATTTACATGATAACATGTATTGTTTATTTTGTTGTAATTAAACGTTCTAAACAATGTAGATCTACAATCCAACAGACAAATTAAAGTACTAAAATACCTCATCATGCTTATCAATCTTTTCTGGTAGTTCATAATCAATTGGAGAGAATTACAATTATTGTGATAGTATTCACTTAAAAAAATAGCGCAATGGTCATTATCGCTTACGTTCTAAAAAATATTTCACTGAATAAAAATGACTGTTTGCAAAATGTGAAACCAGATCCCCTGATTGTTCTGTTTAATATTTAACTGTACCGTAAAATGCAACTTAATCCATGCCCTTTCAGAACAGATTTAGTAGTTTCAATGCTCAGAATAAAAGCTAATTAGAATCAGTTGTCACAGCGATATAAAAACATGACAGCTTAAAGACACTTTTGATATTATTTCTTACTATACCTTTGTAAATTTTAACAATGCATAAAAATGATGAAAATTTATATAGAAAATAAATTATTACCTGATTTTCGTTTAACTGTGGCACCAAGATATTAATTCTAATTCCTTTATGTAAGTGTTTTTGTGTTAACAATAACATACGTACTATCTCTGGCGGGCGTCAGCGTTTTTGGCTTTGTTTAATTTAATTTCACGTTATTGGTGCGTGGTGTTCACGTGATATCATAATGCGCAATATTGCTAAGCTACAACATTTTTTGCATATTCTAAATTTTGGTGTAGGTTGTTCATTAATAACAGTTATATAGTCATCGTCACCTGCTACATAATGTACTTGAAAGTTGTAAACTTGTTAAAGTAAACAGTTTTATGTTATGTTTATTATTATTATTATTATTATTATTATTTTAAATAGAGACAAAAAGAACGTCCAAAACGGCATAAATGAAAATGTTGCATTGAAGCTGTTTATGGACTGTACTCGAAATTGAAGATACCGCCCCCCTTGTGCTTGTTTAATCCGAATTCAACATTTAACATGAAATGGTACAATTTTAAATTCAGAAACGTCCGCCGATGTGTTAATTCATGTTAATTTTCAATTTTCTTACGAAATTTACATATTAATGAATTAGTCAACCTGACTTTTATTATTAACTTCTAATATGAATTTAGTGCCAAAGTAAATGATAATTTGAGCCAGATGTTTTTAGAATCTTAGAAATTAATATATAATTTCAGAATTGATATTGAACGATGAAGTATGCCAGTGTGACAGTAAATTTTGGTCCTGTTGAAAATTGACCCAAGGGGTCTTTTTTCAAAGTTGGAAACTAAATCTGGATCAGTTTTCATCGTTGGGAATAAATTACGCCAACAATTCAACGTAACATTTTGATCAAAAAGTCGTTGAGAACTGATTAATCGTTAAAGTTAAGGAATTATCAATTAATAAAGTCAAAATAGGGTCATTTTCAAAAGTTAGTTTCAATTTAGTTTTAGGTCTGTTTTTAGAAGACAAACGCTTGAAAGATTCAAAATCTCTCACAGGCGTCATTACAAGAATAACAAAACCAAGCGTCTTATACCAGGGTCTTCCAAAAGATCCTGACTACACAAATCTCCCTACTGACCACTGCATTTTGCGGATACACTACAAACTTTTCCACTATTGCAACTTTTCTGCCCTTTCCATCAGTGTTCGGATAAGGACCACGGGCACAATAGTATGACTACGCAGAACGGATACGGTATTTTGGTCTTACCTACGCTAAGAAACTAACCATAGTAACAAAATAGTGCTTGGAGTTGAATAATATATTTATATTTATGTATTAAGTAAAAGACCATTTACAGATGTTCAGCAAACAATACATTATTTATATACTTATTATAATGGTTGTGTTATTCGAAAGTAAAAAATGTTGACCTGTTGACAATTATTCGCATTTGGTTATAATTATACATCTGTGAGCATTTCTAAATCGATTATGATTGTGAGACATATGTTCCTTGAGATATCCCGATTGCCTTTTGCAGCGATTACCTCCCCTGACCAGTACAGAAAAGTTGAATTGCTGAATGAACAGTTTAGTCAGTACTGCAAATGACACTTATTAGGAGATTGAAATATATCACGGCTATAGTAAATCCTTTTGTTAATATGCATTCTAAGATTGGTAGATGGATTTTAACTCATGTGATACCTTTTAATATTAATAAAAGTAGGAGCCAGTAACATTATACTAGCAGACGACCGACTGTGAAACCATACGTTGTTCTGCAGGCAATGTTATATAATACTTCACTACATAAATAACATACCGGTATTACAGTCTATTAACAAAGTTATATTCAATGGATTGACAAATGTTATTGGCTCGATCGGCATATTCTGCAAAATTATCTAGATCACTTTTCAATGTTCCAATATAGCTTGGCTATACCGAATCAGGTACGTTTGATCTGCGTGGAAACATAAAGATGTTAAAGGGGCATGTATCAATCTATAAATTCATACCATTGAACAGGAACATGCCACAAATATGTAAGACTTCTCTTGGCAGTAAAGCATGCCTATGAATTGAAGATTAATTCGAGCTGGTGCTTCCTGTTAAATTGTACAAACTGAATTTCGGGACAGACTGACGTAAAAACGGACATCCATTGAAAGCTGTAACTATGTGTTTCCTCATTAGTAAGGATATTACACTTCATCTACAATTCTCAAAAATATTAAAAAGCTTTGAAATAATGAAACAGGACAGATTGTTTCTCGCACATCAATTTTAGTTCCTTCCTTTAATGTATACATATATATTGTTAACACTTTGGACAAAATCTCTAGAGAAGTTGTATAGCTGTGTTCGGTACCTCGAATGACACTTAAAACTACATAAAACGGTATAATTCTGAGAAACATTTAAAAACTAGAACGATGATTTCAAGTTGGTAGTTGGCCTGACGAAAACGACCGGAGAAAGGCATCTAGCTGCATAAATGTTTAACAAATTAATGAACTTAATGAAGTGTCACATTGAAGGTTCCATGATAACCGCCGTATAAACACATCTGCGGATGTTTCTAAATTCAAAATTTTACTATTTCACGTTTAAATGTTGAATTCTGCTTAAACCGGTGCTATGGGGCGTGGACGGTAACTTGCACTTTCCAGTACCGTCCATGAACAGGCTCAATCAAACCGAGCCTGCAACATTTTCAATATTGCCGTGTTGGGCTTTCTTTAGGGATTCTGTATTTATCTATTAACCGAAAGCATCTTGTCAATATTTCATAAGTTTATGGTTGCTGAAAATGACACCCAAGAAGGAACCAGGGTTTATTTCTTTATGACAAATCATTGAACAGATACATACCGAAATATGCCCAGTTCACAGTTATAAGGCCAGTGATGCAGAGATTTAAAGACAGAGAAAGCGGCGAGAAATCTTTTTTGTTTGGATTTTCCCGGGCTCATTGCCGCTGATTCTTGCTGCTGGGTAGTGTGGGGTTGCGTTCATTGAACGCCACATTCCTTTGTTGATCTTGTTTATCATATTTTTAAGAGTATGAAACTACGCATCTTCCGCTCGTATCTAGTCATTCAGCTCCAGTCCATGGTTTACCATTTGCTAAGTTTGATACGCTATAAAAGAAGCTAACCGACGCAGAGCGGCATTTGGCTATTAAATAAATCTATAAGTACAGAATATGGATAATATTTAGGTAACATTTAAAAATTTTATTAAAATGTTTTACTTTTTAACAACCTGAGTACCATGTATTTCTATTCTAGTTAAATAAACATTTTTACATAAATATATATTCAAAGATTTTAATCGTGATATTTTGTTTAAAGTTATTGAAAATGTTGATCATACCAACGGATTTTTTAAAAAAAAATTGAAAAGCCTTTCAACCAAAATTAGTAGTAATTTGCAAGCAAAGTGGTAAAAACATTCATCAGTAATTATTACCAAAAGATAGTTTTTTTTTTGTCTCGCTGCTCATGCTTTATGTCGCGGATTATTGTAATGTGAGTAATTTTAAAATTAAAGTGTATATTTTTGTAAAGGTTATTTTCTAAAAAAAAGAGATTTCATTTATCTTTCATGGTATTTGATTATTTATTAGAGCTGTGTTTAAGAAAACAGACATGTTTTAGATAATTACAGTTTATATTTGATATAAAAATCAGCACGAACAATTAAATATAATTTCTAATAGCTTTTCAACGGAATATGCTATTAAAACATTTATGTAATTATTGCCATTACTGGACTTTGTGATTGTGTATGCATCTTAAAATACTAATATAACCATATCGTTACCAATTTATTATTGACTTCTGAACAGTGCGAGAAGTAAATGTTAAATTGTTATCAATAAAAAAACACTTAGTTTTATTACCCTCACTATTTTTGCAATATTAATTTCCAATCTGCAAAATAAAAACAGTGTCCCAATGAAGAATTTGATCTGGGGTAATAAAATAAGTCACATAAAATTATATGTTTTTGAGTAAAGTCTCGGGTAACAATATTTTCCTACGGATTATATTTTTACTGTAACAAAACAATGTGTTATTTATACAACATTGCCGTAACTATTGACAGATAAAGCTGAATTTATTTATAGTTTAGGCGCAATGACGAATTCTCTCAAAAACGAATAGAACGGATCAGGAAAATTGCAACCTTACTAAAGTTTCTTTTTATTTTATTTACAATATTGATTATATTTCATAGTTATGTTTAATAGTAATATTATTGTAACCACCATTTTGCAGATATTCGACAGGTTGATCAACTTTACTATTATACACGTAATTGGATTCATGTGTAATAAGGAATTGGTATAGACGTTTACACTAGTTAATGGGAATATTTGCATGTTTGCACTTGTCATGTGATTGAAAGGTAAGCATGATTCAGTTTCTTGTTAAAATTCCCTTACTTGCTGAATTGTATTTTTCTTGAAAATTTGTTAGAGATTCCATTTATATGAAACCCTTATAAAAGTGTGTTTTAAAGCCGTTTCTTACAGGAGAGCATTTGTTTCACAGGCAAAGAGAAGAATGTTCTTCAACTTTTTCATTGAAAAAAAAATCGTAATCGAATTAAATTTATGGAAAATGGGGTCGGCAAGCTACTGTTTGAATTGTCTTCCTTGAAAGTGATTTTTTGACACTTTTTGTTCTTTTGAACAGATCTGAAAAAGATATACGAAAATATTATCTCAACTGATATGCCTTGGATATTCAAGCTTTTCATTCAAAATTTGTTTTGGTACCAGCGGACAAGGCGGCTAATAATATCATTATTGTATGACGTATCCATTCCATTAACGTTTTACATAAGGAACTTAATAGTACTTATGCGTATTCAAAAATAACTGCTTCCGAAAAAGACATTGTTAACAATCATGTCACTAATATTTCCAGTCTAAAAGTCCGAATCGATGAAAAAGAACTAAAATTTCCTATTATGTATTGGATTCCTAAATTACAAAAAAAACCTTACAAAGCCAGATTCATTGCTAATTTTACATCTAGCACAACAATTAAACTTTCTATTTTATTAACGTCTTGTTTGACTGCCATTAAAACACATGTAATTAGATACTGTGATAAAGTGTACAAAAATACCGTTAAACA